CATTACCTTTGTCCGACAAAGGGGCTGATCCTGTCACTATGATCACCCACTCAGATGAATTCTCGGACTRTCCCAACATACCCAGGTTTTGACCCCCTCTAAGGATCTCACTGATAGCCCAATCCGACACCTAGTGTAGTATCACAATCGAGTCTAGGGGTTATGTGTAACTTTCCAATTTTGCCCAATAATCACCAAGGTGCAGGGCAATACTGGAAATCTGGTCCGGTTCAGGGTTTTAAGTAAACCTACACTGCTTGTGCCTCGGGTCTCACCCTGGCGGCTGAGACAGGCCACCCCAACATTTGGCAGCACACTAGTGTCAGCCTTGGCAAGATAAATCTCCCCAGACTTATCCAACGGCTATGAACATTCTAAACTAACACGAGTCTCATAAGTGTCCAGTTTAAGGGTTTTACACCGAAACACAACACTATAACATGAATCAAATATGTACTTTATTCATTTACAATAAATTCCATAAGTACATCAATCTGATTGGAGCTAAGGGCATACAACTGTCTAACACTTATTTACCCATTTTTCGATTCATGAATGCAAACACGGTTCACATTTTAAACCGCTTTTGCATTCATCTAGTTTGGTTGAAATCGGTGCAAAGTGTGGGCCCATCATTAAATGCTCTAACTATCTGATGTTCCAATGCCTTAATTTGGTCAAAAAGTTAATTATCAAAAGAATACAAAATTGTATCCAAAAAATTGGTACAATAATGCTCTATTCTCAGAGTACAAAGGTGTTAGAAAATACATTTTTGTTCTGATAATCATTACTTTTTTACGTATAAACAAACATTCGTAAATGCGAACTGGGGTATGTTTCACAAACAAACAGAGCCTAAGGGGTAATTGTTGAGGTGTAAACCGGACCATGTCACCCGCGGCCATGGTCTAGCAAGATTTTGAGCCGACTTGGCATCACATAATCGAGTGGGCCATGCCGCCTATAGCATACATGCTGGCATGGCCTAGCTCACAACACGACCTAGTACAACCCATATATATTTATATATATTTTATATATAATATATAATATGTATATATATTGTAATAATTATATAACATATTAATATATATAATTTTATTATATTATTTCATTTTATTATTGCATACATAAACAATTTATACATCAAAATTCATATAAAATAAAATTTTAAGCTCTTTTCTAATTTGTGTATATATCTTTTAATTTATGTTAAAATTATCATTATTTTTTCAAAAATTTTAAAAAACATGACTTGGCCCAGTTTGCGGCCCAACCCGACCTGCACTTTGCACGAGCTGCATGCGTGTTGTGCCGTGTTGGCCCTGCAAGGGCTTTAAAATTATCATTATTTCTTCTGCTATGGGCTTTATTTGAGCATGTATAGTTTGACAAAGGTATGTTCCCTTTTTTTTTTCATTTTCTGCTTTTGTTTATTTTGTTTGCTCTTCTTCAAGATCCTCCAAAACGATCTAGGGTTTACCACCATTTTATTTCTTCTCTTTTGTTTTTTCTTTGGGTTTTGTTATGTAATGTTTTTTTTAATTTTCTTACAAGGCGATCTGCTCTGTCTTCTTTCTTTGATTGCATATGTGCTTAGCTCCATCTCAAAGCAGAACTTTGTACTCGATTTTTTATTTTTTTCCTTAGGTTTTCCAATTTGATGGATTTACTGCCAATATTTTCTATGTTTAAGGTCACTTTGGATTTATCTTTCAAGGTTTTAGAATCCCTCGCAATGTCCACCCTTCCCATGACTATGACTATAAAGTTATTTTGTCTAATTATTGACATCTAGAAAAAATGACCTAGAAGCGAAACCATTCTAACCACTGGTTTCCAAGTCGACGGTTCAACCATCTAGTTTGAACGGATAGCTCGTTTTGACAACAAAAATTAAAAATTAAAAAATAATAATAATTAAAAATAAAAAATGGCCAAAATCGTTGAACGGGTCGACGAGTCGATGGTTTGACCGCTCAGGTCAACGGGTTGTTGATCGATTCAACGGTTTTTGGCCAGGGATTAAGTTTGGGGTAAAGCGAAACCGATTGCCTGGACAATTCCTAGGCCAAACAGTCCTACCATCCGGGTCAACTAAGAGTTTTCAATGTGAAACAAAGGATAGCTATAAAGTAGAACTCAGAGCTATCATTGTGTGATAGTGTTCTTTTATATGAAATGCTTTGCTGAAGCAATATTTAAAAATCGGACACATGATGATTTCTTTTAATTCTTTATATGGGTTTCAAGACTTGAGTACTAATAATTGCAGGTTTCTTATTTAAAAAACATTGTCTTTTTTAATATAGCAAATAGCAATGTGACAATTCCAATACAACCCCTGCGAAGCAAGGGCCCCTCCGCTAGTAATAGATGAAACAACCAAGCTTCTATCCAAATCTTAGGGCCCGTTTGGGAGAGCTTTAGTGTTTGATTGGGACATTTCCAAAAATCTACCAAAAGTAACTTCACCGGAAAGTTGATTTCTCAGCTTATGTGTCATGTAAGCCTATTTTTAGCTTTTGGAAGTTTTCACTAAACGGGCACATAACAAATGGAATTCATATTTGAATCGGATTAAATCCTTTTTTTTTTTGTAACCCTAATGTTGATTTCATTCAAAATAATATCCTATACGATCAATTTGCAGCCTTACACACGACCTGGATTTGGTAGAAAACTGATTTATGTTGATTTGGTACATCAACTTATTCGTATTTTTAATATAAAATAAAAGATTAGCCCAAGTTTGACATGATCCACCCTTTTGAGCTCCCAGTCAATTTGCCACATAGAAGATTTCTGATCATTAAGATGACCACTGAGCTTTCCATGCATTCAAAATAAGATTGATTTTTCAGTACTTCAAAAATTAAGGAAATATAATGTTCGATGGTCAATGGAACCAAAACTCTTTTTACAAAGTGGAGAATGAAGCCAAACGACAGATGATTTGAATTATAACAATTTGGATACTGACCTTAAGGTTATAATACGGTTAACTTGCAATCAACAAATCTTTCATGGGGTTAGATTTGTACCGTAAGGTACAGAGTGCACTAAGGCCAATCCCTTGTCGGAGTTGGTGATTATTTCAAAAGAACGGTATGGTCATCTGGGTCAAGTAGATGAAGAAGGGATGAGGAGGAGGAGGAGGAAGGGGAAGAGAAAGAAGAGTAAGGAGGATTACATTTTTGGTTAGTTTTAATAAAAATCTTTTATATTAAAAAGAATGAAGACCAATAACACTAGTTGAAAGCCGCCCCTAACAGAAAAATCAAATTGGGTTGCATTGAAAAGGGGGGCTGCAGTGAAGGCCCCAGCCCACTTTCTTTCCCCTTACCTATTCTTCCCTTCCCTTTCCTTTTCTTTCATTTTCTCTTTTTTTTTTTTCTTTTCTTTCTTTTTCTTGCCCTTCCCTTTTCTTTTTTCCTTTTTTTCTATCTTTTTATATGAGATGTGCATGAGGCGTGCAAAAAGTGTATGAGGCATACGCCTCTTGCACTTGAGGCGTATACCTCAGAGGTGTCAGTGCCTCTGGCCTGCACCTCAGGGTGTTTTGGGGGACACCTCCTACGCCTTTTAAAACACTGATGGAAAGTGCCGTGACAGTCTATCACCTAAAAGCACTTCTCAAAGCTACATGACCTCAAATCTGTTTTTTCAAAGAAAAACAAAATGCTCAGACTCTAAACATAAGATTTTGGTATGCAACATTGGTTTCTCTAATTTTCATTGGGTGGCAGCTCAAGGTCTTTCAAGTGGGGCTATTTCTGTCTTGGGACAACTCCATTGATCTGCAAGTAATTGCCTCTGACAATAACTGGATTATTGATAAGATATTTAATTTTCCACAGCATCATAAACGAATTATCATTTCTGTATATACTCCAACTAACATGGAAAGGAGGAATCTCTGGGATTGCATCTATGAGTTTGTCGAAATCTTCTGCCAGACAAACATGGGGTCCAACCTAGCAAGGATATCACCCTCACTGTAGAAAATTAAGACCAATAACATTCTTGTAATGTACATTAACATGGATATAGGCAAATTATTTTCGCAATTATACTAAAAAATTTATATTTTTATTCCATCCAATTAATGTCTAAATATTTGAGTTTCGAGAGCCACTTCTGAGTATCTTGAGAAACACAAGGTTTATATGGTACTTTATCTTCAACCTCTTTATCATTCAATACTATACTATCATTTTTCTTTTCTTTTTCTACTTTTGCCTGTCTTGTTGGGTGCCTCACCTTGAGTGATAGGAGGCGAGAAACTTCATGGAGGCCCCCCCATTTTTCCAATGCACGTGCAATGTCATAGCGGCCTGCAAAACCATTAACAGAAGGAAATGAATAAGTATAACACCAGCCACCTGATAATTAATTAATTATCTACATAGAAACCTCCAGCAACATCGCTTTTTTTGGCTGGACTGCCTTCTTGGAAGAATTAATGCAAAGTTTAGGATGAATATATCAATAAACAAAAGGAAAATTCATAGCCATGATATACATCTAGAGATAAAGTACATGTATGCACTTCCAAAGACCTACTACAGATTATTACATTGGAAGAGTTTGTTTTTTGGTAGAACATTAGAGGAGGTTTAGACTTATTTCCTCTTACCTGCTCTCTCAAAAGATTTCCTACTGGGCATATAACAAGGATCCATTCCCCAGTTTCTTTGGAATCGACTTATCTGTACAATAAGAACAAATCATTGTCAAAATTCATCATAATTTATAAGATACCTTGAAATTTCCACTGAATTCATGCATAAGATCCATAACCCAATATTAGCCCCCACCATCCTGAGTCCTGGGAGGTCTGGACTGGATATAGACTTAAATCTCCAGAATATTTTGCACAAAGTGACCAATCTCAGACTCCAACCAGAATTCTCATGCTTGTTATAGGAGATTTTACCATTACACCAAGCAATAGCCCCTATCTGTATATCTATCTCTTTCTCTATATATAACAACCTTGTCACAATAAGTTGTTTATCTTTACACATAAGGGTATTGTAGAATTTGTAAGGGGTACTCGTCTTTAAAATTTATTCCTAAAAGAATACAACTAGTGTCAGGGATCTAACTTTGAATTCAATCAAATTTCCAATTGTTGTCTTTGAAAATAGGGATTGGCCATGTGTTGCATCAGAGTTTTGTATATTAATAATAGCCTTCCAATTTTTCTTTTTTTTTTTTAATTTGAAAGTTTCTCATAATATAGATCTTGTCTAGAGCATGTGGCAAGGTCTTTTGTGCCAAAAAAATTCCACAAATCTAGAATTGGAAAAGGAATTGGAACCCCAAACAACTTTTCCACATGGAAGATTCCCAGATTCTTAAAGGAAGCTCATTAAATGACTTGAATAGGAATCTCACTCCTTATATAACAAACGTGTGTATATGCAAATCCACGTTCTCATTGTTACTTGCTGTCATCTATTTATCCTGATAGCAACATGTATGTTGGAATGTTTTTCTTTATATTTATGATTGTATTCTGCTTAGTTAGGGCCTGTTTGGTCTGGTTAAAATAGCCTTTTTTTCCTTTGTTTATGTACTTTGACTACAGCAGGGGCATAAGGGTCTTTTCCCTTTTATTTATGGTCGCCCTATATATAATAACATAAGTTGGCACCGCAGAGAGATTAGAACTCTCCAAACCTTTCTCTATTCTTCTCTCTCTCCTCTTCTTCCTTATTTCTTCTCTTTTCTTCTGATAATAATGTACATGATGGACTATAATCTAGAAAGAAAAGAAAAAAACAAGAATGATACTGAAGTCTACTATAAATGAGAAACCCAAGTTTAAAAAGCTACCTCCTCTTGCAAATTCTCAAGGTTGTCCCAATAGCCCTTTGGTTTGCGGTGTTTATAAGCAAGGGAAAGGTTCATCAGTGAAGCAATCTTTCTGAATCCACCCATGCGTGTAATTGCCTTCTCAATATCCACCCTACCATGCAATCGGAGTTGCTTTCTCATAGGCATGAACCCTTCCTGACCATGCTCAGAAATAAAGGTCAGGAGTTCAGCTTTAAGAACTTCAACATCTCTCTGTAGTCCTGGAACTCTTGGTCTTTGTCTCAATGGATTTTGACTACTGAAAGAAACCTGTTCAGGTTTTTTACCATAATCCACATCCTTATTGTTTCCAGATAGAATGACTTGTCCCTCTGTATGTTCTTCTTCCAAATTCGGTGCCATCTGTTTTTCAACAAAATCTCGAATGGCACAAAGGTTTGATGGGAGGTCTTCATATATAACCTGGAACAGGCAGAATAATATAACTTCAGTTTCTTAAGGCTCCAGATAAGGAATGATGGATAACAACTGAAAAGAGAACCCATTCTGATGACCTTTGCCATCAGCTAATGCTTTCACGTGAAAATAAATAAATAAGATTTGAAACATTAATGAAATGAAGGAATCAAAACCACATTTAAGAATTGAATGATCCACATTAATGAAGTTTCCAATAATAAATAAATAATGAAGAAAAAAGGGATGAAGAAAAACCATAGGTAGAAGAACCAAAGGAAATCACCAACTAGATAAGCATCCATGTTGATCTGGATGAGATTTTGATTAGAATTCACATCCATGATCTGTATTCACTATAAATTTCCACAAGAGTAATGCAACATCATATACCAATTATTAGATAATAGGCTGTAATCTGTATACTCTGCATATGAGTCACACTATACACAGGGGCATGTTAGCCTCTTAAGTGGGACCCCTTTTTCATATTATAAATAGATATAAAATTTTGGAAAGAGATCCATGGAGGCTAGCTCACTTCCTAAATGAAATTAGAGAATTCATAGTTGGTGGATCAGCTCAGACTAACTGGTTTTCAAGGGATCTAAATTCTATGGCAGATGGGCTTGTCAAAATCTGGGCTTGGGAACTCTTGTATAGTGATAGCTCCTAGTCCACTTATTTTTAGGAGGTGCAGATTTTTGTATACACTGTCAATTCATGTACATCTCTTCTGTGCCTTTTTTCTAGGAAAGTCAGTTATCTTCTAAAAAAGATATGAAATGCTCATAGGAGGTGCACCAATATGATCTTTGAGGACATAACAAAGTTGGTCTAGGCCATTCTGAAAAATGATAGCAATTGGCATCTAAGTGGGCCCCATAACCCATCTGGTTATGGTCAACCTCTAACATGTCATGTTACAAAACAACCATCGACCATTTGACCTGGATGGTTGAATTGGTGATCTGCTCAACCTGTTTGCTAGGTCAAAAGTTTTTTGTATTGTTTTATTTTTTGAAAATTTTTTATTGCCATGACATCATGACTTGACCCATTGATGTGACAGTTGAACCAGTGGGCTGTCCACTCGTTGGGAAAAAAAGTTCAGCCTCTGGGCTGGGTTCTAAAACATTGGACCACACATGTAACGAAGATCAAAGTACAAGCATATCACTAATCAAAGATAATTAACTTATGCACAAAATCTTCCACCAATAACACTGATATTTTCTGATATTTTAGCATATGATTTTGTTAGTTGATGTGGAGAAATGGATCATTCATCTGCTCAAGAAATGACATAAGAAAAGGGAATTACTTCCATTGTCTAAATTTTCCAAGGTAGATTACAGACAGAAAGATATTAATACCTCTTCCATAATAGCTTCTGAAAGAAAGGAATCTTTGTGCATCTTTGATTCCACAGTATACTTCAGTAATGTATGATGATTCCCAAGTTGCTCCAAAATCCACTTTCCCCGAAATGAATCAAAATCCCCCTCCACCTGCTCAAAACTAATTTCTTCTTCAAGATGTTCACACAAATCCAAAACAACACGTGCATGAAGTGCCATATACAGTAGGCCCTTGCATCCTTCCTGCAAAAGAAATTTCAAATTAATTATATAGCCATTTTTAGTATCATCAGCCACACTATTGCAATGAAAAGGTTTCCAAATAGTACCCCTCAGTAGGTTCAGTTATTCAGAGAGGCCTATCACTCTCACCAATTATATAAGCCAATAAATTCTTTTCCTAATATAAAATGTAATGGGAAGAAAAGTAGTAGAACTCCATCTTATCTCATATCAACAATTGGACCATAAATGGTCCCTCTGTGCATCTAAATGTTGAGATATGTGAAACCATGTAAAAGGTAACTTGGCATTTACAAAAAGTGAGACATGTAAGGTGCTTTTTAATGTTTGTCAGCACCATATATGTAATTTGATGTTATTTTCACATAAAAAGTAGAGACCTGAAGCAAGAGAGACAATTTGCTATCAAACCTCTCCCTCTTCTTCTTCTTCCATTCACAAACCCTAAAACACCATTCATCTTTACATTCATACATTCAACTCTAAATAGCTATGTTGTTTCTAGTGTCATCATCTGTAGTGTATATATATCATAATCCACCATTTCAAAAGTTTCTATCTAGTGTTCTTTGAACATCTCTAAGGTGTTCCTTCTCCAAGAACCTATGGACAATAACTTGGCTAGAATATATGTTTTTCTCACAAGGCTATAAAGCAATTTGAGCCAAAACTTTTCTGGCATAAACCCAATGCAAGAAACAAGAACCTGTAATTTATTTTTTTATCAGTGAGAAGAAAAGGTTATTAAGGAGAAATAAGAGAAAAGTATGAAGTTAAATCCACATAATGGACCAGGAAAGATTCAATAGCCTCAAAAGCATGAGGTGAATCATATCCAAACCCTGCACATGATCTCAAAAAAAGAAACAAAAAAAAAAGAGATCCTAGGAAGGAGGTCCTACAAAACAGCTCAGATCTGTCCTCTATCCAATAACCAATGGGATTAACCAATCACTAGATGGATCACAAAGGTTTGGAAGTTGAGCTCCAGCCTCTCTAATGAGGTAATGGAAAGACCAAGGGTCCTCAATATCATTGTGAGCTTAGGAGCTGTATTTGAAGTAGTAGAGAAGAGAAGAAGACCTCTGAAATACAGTGAATGTCGAACTGAATAGCTCAGTCGACAATACTGTTATTTATATTAGAATGTAGTACAATGATACAAGGAATTACTAGAATGCCCCTGATTAGTGATGGGAC